TTGACGTTCAGGGCACCGTGGCGTTGTTGACAGTGGACACCAGTGATGAGCCGTACGGGCTGCTGACCATTGCTCCATCATCCCTGAAGGTGACCACTGAGGAACGACAGCAAACCATAAATATCTACATCAACAGGGAGTTCGGCGTTTCAGGTTGGTTTGTCCTGTTTGAGATGATTCTGTGAAGTTGGGTTCCCGTGAGCACTATTTTCTATATAATTGAACTAATAACTCCTTTTTTTTGCTCAGGTGCTCTGAATGTTACCTATGAGGTTCTCAAAGGGTCCCTGGAAGACCTCTCCCAGGTCGAAGGGGCTCTAGCTGAACCAGGAAAAGACTTCTTGGCAGAAACTGGTTCTGTGATTCTTCGGGAGGGTCAGACGTCTGTTGCTATTCCTGTCACCATCTTGGAGGTAAAGACTGACCGTATTCTTGAGGTTGAAGGACACGTGCAACAAACCACGCGAAGATAAATCTGTGGTTTATAAAAATGAAGATTTCGTTCATGTTTTTGCAAGGATATCATATTAATTTGGAGCCTTTCTGTTTGTTTTATCAGGATGATATTCCAGAGTTGCAGGAATATTTCCTGATCAACATTACATCTGCAGCACTCCTCACAACCCTCGCCACAGTTCCTCAACTCGGTATAAAACTGAATGGATGTTTTGTTGGGGTTTAAGTTTGTTCTTGTTTTACCTCTTTACATTTTTTTGGATAGGTTGTGGGTATATTTGGCATGCTGTATTGTTGTCTTAATAAGTTTTATACTTTCTCACAATCTTCAATACTTTCGACTCTGTGTCAGGAGAAATCGTGGATTGCACATGACCAGGTTATTTATGCCTCGAGTGTAAAGGGCTTCATATTAACACTGCAACAGAATCAGACTTAATTCCTGTATGTTTTTACGATGAGCAAACTGGCACGTTACTGCTACTGCATCTGCTGTAATTCACGCCGTAGTCAAGCTTATGAATGGGAGAAGTCAGAGTCACAAATGGCCTGAGTTATGTGGTTTGGCAGTGAGTGATGCTTTCCATAAAAGAGGAATTATGTGGTTTAGATGAGAGCGGTCTAACTAACCAAACGAAAACCAGAGTTGGCATCCCAGTCACTTGGACATTGAATGACTGAAGGGAAGTCCAACTTAAATATTGCTGCTGAAAGTCGTTTTAAGAGCTTCTCAAGTTCGCATTGTTTTGCAGCGATGCTAGAGTTCAAGATTTCAATTGACATTTCAACTAATCATCCCTATTAATCCTCTTCATGTGTTATCCTGTGCCGTAGACACGCGGGGTTTGGTGGCAGAGGTCGTCATTGCTGCCAATGATGGAATTCGAGGAGTCATTGAATGGACAAACACCATGTAAGAAAGCACAATGCGTTTCTTCTGTTGTTATGCTCGAGTTCTAATTCAAACAAAGTCTCATGTTAAGATTTTTTTGGTTTCTAGGTTTGAAGTGAATGAAACGTTAGGAATTTTGACCCTAGTGGCCTACAGGAACAAAGGCGCGTGTGGGAACGTTTCTGTTTCCTTCTATGCTCAAAATCTGGAAGCTCAGCAAGGCCTGGACTTCAACACCAGCGAAACGGTACAACCATGCAAACAGAGTGTAACACATGGATTCTCCTGAAGAGAATTTCTGGGATGATTTGCTTCGGCATGTTTTCTGTCCACTCAGGTGCTCTTTTTTGTCAGCGATGAAAAACACAAGTTTGTCGAGGTGCAGATCATCGACGACATCATTCCAGAGGGAGCCGAACGATTTCAGCTGATCCTGTCCAATCCATCACTTGGGCTTGAACTAGGCACCAACACCACAGGTTCGTCGTATCTGATTAGTCCTCCCGATGGACGACAGCGTAAGCCTCTCGTATTGACCTTTTATTCCTTTCTTTCATTTGTATTTCAGCCACTGTGACCATCCTGGCCAGCGACGATGGACACGGTGTCTTATCTTTTAACACCAGCGAGACATTCTTACTGAAAGAGCCCACATCTGAGTTGGCACTGAGCGAGAGCGTGGCCACCCTCTATGTGGTTCGGGACCCAGAGGAGGGTACCTTCGGTACTGTGACTGTGCAGTTTTCCGTAACAGATTCCAATGGCAGCCTTGCCAGTGGTGATCTCATCCCAGCCCAAGGGATTGTGGAGCTGGAGGACGGCGTTCGGTTTAAGGTGAGCATAATTACGGACTGCTTTTTGGCTGGATGACTGATATACTGCACTGTTTTCATTACAGTTACAGTTTTGATGAAATTTTCCTCGTGTTGTTCCAGACGCTGGAGATCCGAGCATTACTGGACGCTGAGCCCGAAGTGAATGAAACATTCACGGTGAGCCTGTCCGACCCAACCGATGGTGTGCGTCTAGGCGATCGACTGCACGTTGCCATCACCGTCCTCGAGAACCTTGCTCCATCTGGCTTGTTCCGTATTGGACCCACTCTCGATAGGTCGGAAACCAATTCAGTCATCAATTATTTTGAATGCTTAAGGTTAGGTCACGTGCATTTATGTTTCCTGTGCAGAAGTAGCACACACGTGGTGGCAAATGAAGGAGATGGACCCATCTTCCTCACAGTGTCTCGAAGTAATGGCTTGGAGTCCACTGTCAGCGTGGAGTGGGAGACGCAGTCCGACACAGCTTTTGCTCTAGGTGAAACCAGTCAATATTTGCACCCAGAGTTAACCCAGAACCATCAACAACCCCTTTATGAAGCAAAGTCATTTGAACACGTTCTTGTCTGTAATTGTGTCTTGAAGAGGGCCCTCTCCCGACGATGGGTTTATATCAGAGCTTTGAAGACAGCCCCACATCCACTTGGTGCTCTGTCCCCGGAATGCCAACCGCTCTTGCTGTAAGACTTGACAAGAGTCCCGCTGTGGGGTCATCCCACACATTGGCCACTCTTTATCAATGGCAAGGAGTGTTTGTGCCAGTAGAGGTAAATCATATGTACAGCCGTCCCAAAAGTCTCTACACTGTACACTTCCTTTTTTCTATTCCGTTTCAAGGATCATTCAGACAGACGCGAGGCCATCGGCATTTGACAGCTTTGGCTTTGCAGTTTTTGTAAGCATAGAACTCCCAGATGAGTTTCCGGACCGACTTCAGGTTGATTATCATGCCCCACTGTGGTGGGAAAACAGAAAGACTTGTTGTTAGGCGGTAATTTTGTAATACTGATCCAATGTCAATTAGCAAGACACGGACAAGGAAATGATATGCTTACAAAAACTGAAAAGCCCAAACTATCAAATGCTGAAGGTCTCACATCTGTCTGAATGATAACCTGAAATGAAATAGAAAAAAAGAAAACTTATAGTGAATTTTGGGACACACTGCCCCTTTTATCTTCGATGTCCTGTACTAATCTGATGCTACTGTATATGCAATGATTTCTCCTTACCGGCCTTCCAGTCTGCTCGGATTCAGGACCCAAGTTCCTGCGTTGGGTTTGCACTGAAAAACACCAGCTACATCGCCATCACTCATGGTGGCGCACCCTTCGCCCCTGCAGCCAACCTCAGCATCTTAAAGCTTCACAGGGACTTCAATGTCACATTGGTTCGTACAACACCCATTGCTGTTCTCGTCATTGTCTACAAATTTGTTTTATTGCGGTCTTCGTATATCTTCTGTCTTTAGGAACAAATCATAGGCGTGGAAGCTCTTGAAGTGAAGCACTTCTCAATTGACAACAGAGATTTTCTTATGGCATCAAGTCAGGTGAGGTCAAATGTCGTGATTTGCTCAAGTTATCCCATCCTGTTCTTGTGAGAGTCATTGAAGACCCCCCCCTCACTTCATGACCTCAAGTTATCCCATCCTGTTCTTGTGAGAGTCATTAAAGACCACCCCCCACCCCCCCTCTCACTTAATGATACAGATATTTGTTTGGACCAGCGGCTCCTTCACCCTCCTGCAGACGCTTGACTTTCAAGAACATATTGTCAGTGTGACTCCATTCACCCACGCCGAAGCTCCTTATTTAGTAGTTTGCTTTAACAGTGAGACGAGCAGCTGCCTACTTCTTCACTGGACTGGCGGGAGCTTTGGGAATCCACAGCCCCTCCATATCACAGGCAGAGTCAGCCAAGTGGAGACAGTCCAGACAAAAGCAGATGACACTCTTTTCTTGGTG